AGTCATCCACCGTGCTATCTTCTAATAATACTCTTGGGGCGTATGTGTCTGGAGTGACTTTATTGGTAACATGCAGAATTTTTGAGGCTGGCTGCTTTACTTTGCAGTATGCTAACTTACAATTAATATTTTAAATTAAAAGGCCTTCTGTATACCTGACTAGGGTAGACTTGTCCATAAATATGCATCATCGCCCATATTTTGTATAGTTTTACCAACTGACTACATTTTATGAGGAAGAATCTATCGTTTTTGTGAGGGAACTATATTGCAGGCAATTTACCCAATTCTTTTCTCTTCTGAAATGGCTCTAATCTTGTTATATCCTTCTGATATTGGGATATTTAAGTAACCTGTTTTACACAAATTCATTTCTCTGAATTGGTTCCCAAAAGCATCTTCTCTTAGCTGGAGTATACAAAGAAATTACTGTGTAAGATAAGGTAATCAGTAGTTCTAATACTTGCTAGTTTTCTAGTTCTGCTTAATTGCTTAGACATTAACTACCTTGCACTTTAGTTCCTCACCAAGGATATATTCCTGTTTCTTCAAATTTTACTCATCGTCCCTCTCATTTGGAAGCCACTTCCTTTTTTAGCAAGTATTTATTTGGACATATCAGAATTAGTTGAATGAAGGGAGACTGAGCTGAAAGGCAGCAGAGTTTGGTCTTACTTACCAAACAAGGGACCAAGATTGGGAGTTTGCTTTCTTCTTTGTTTGTTTTTCATATTTTGGAATCGCCCATCTCTCACACAGAGGGATTCTAGGTGGAGATTTGCATTTCCTTTTTTCTCTGAGACAAAAAAAAAATCATACAAGTCAGTAAGACCAACTTGTTCTTTCTTTATCCCTGTAATCTGTCTCTATTTTAGAATAAGAGCAGAGAGAGGAAATAAGTGTTAGCATTATTGTGCATTTCTTTCACTAACTGCATTGTGCTCTGTAAGAATCATGTACGCCATCATTGAATATTATCTAAGGAAAAAGGCAACTAGATGTTCTGCATTATTCTAGGAGAGAATGTGTGTTCTCAGTAAGAATTTTGAATAAATGATGTTAGCTGGTTTTAAATAGTAGGATTCAAGGAGGTGAGAGAGGCAAACTTCACTTTTATTCAAGCAAGTACAATGTGTTGTTAATCTTTGCCACTTCACTCCATATTTTGACAGGATCCCTATAAAATGCTCTTAGGCCATAAACTGAACATAAGCCTGTTCAATGTGTTCTCTAATTTTAGATGCATTAGCAAGAACTAATGAAGTGTTTAACTGAATTTACTTGTTAAATAAATGCTATCACGGTGTTATTTTTTCTCTTTTCTTCCCACTTTTAAAAAAATACCTGGGGAGGCTGCTATATGGGAGGTTAAAAAGAAGGAAGTATTTAAATTAATTTGTCTCTTTTGATCAGACTGAACATTTATACAACAAAAATATTTGCAATTACTTTTTTTTCCATATCCATATTGTATTTCACATTCAGAGTCTCATAAGTGCTTATAAGTGCTGATTCATTAGCTATATGTTGCTAAGTATGATATATAAGATGACATGGCCACATGGATGGACATAAGTAGAACATTTTCTAAGGGTGGAATATCTGGAGTAAGATTTTTTATAATATGCTGACATTGAAAACCACCCAGAGAGTGCTATAAAGCACCATGGGGCAGTATATAAGTCTAAGCACTATTGCTATAATGATTGTATCCACCTGGGTTTTTTATCCAGCTGTAAGATCCAAGAAAGTGCCAAAAAGAATTGACAGTAGAATCTAAGATACCTGATCACAGCCATCTGCCCTAATGATTGCATCAAGAACAGCATTATCCTTGAGTTATATTTTCAAAGATAAAAATTGTATATCCTTTTAATGGAAATTAATCCTCCCAAGTGTCATTGTAACACATACGGCATCCATCTATATCAACGCTTATGCCATATGTCTTTGTACTTTCCTCTCAAGTTTTATCAACTTAACTCTACTGGTATATGAAACAAAACTGCTGTTAATTTAATCTATTCCAGAGTAACAAAGCACCATAATAGATACTACCACTTGATCAGATCCATTTAAAGGCAAAGACAAACTAAGCAGGTAGTTCTTGTTTTGTTTTGTTTTCTTACAAGTCTTAGGGAGAATATCATGTTGAATACACACATTACAGACATTTAAATGGGGGAGGAAAATAATGAGGTAATTCCTTCCTGGACTAGTATATTCCACGCAGCGGTTTAATCTTCATACACCAAAGCCCAAGCCTTGCAAAATGGGGAGCAGTGTGGTATAATGGGCACTAGATTAATCTAGTCCACTTTCAGCAATGGATGATTTTGGGGCTGGTCCATCTCTCTGCTTACCCTATCTTCATAGGGTGCTGATAATGATAGTTAAAAATGGGAGAAGTGAGCGTATGTATTCTTCCTTGAACTCCCAAACAAATCAAATAAAATCAAATAAAAATTGGCACCCCATACAGTTTGAAAATGAGGTCAATCCATACCAAATCTGTTTCCTCCCCCCATCAGTTTAGACTTTGAACTGGGGTAAAACTATGCATTCTTTCCAGTCCAAGACTTTCAGAAGATATCTTGCATCCCATAGCAGAGAATGACAAGCTGCTCAGAAGATCTTAAAGAACAGACGATTTTATTGTGGCTCTTATTGCAGTGGGGCAGGTTGGGGAAGGAGAGAATTCTAACCTAGCTTCATGTCCGTTTTGTGAGCTTGCAGTGACAAAAATATAGTCAAGGACGTCTTGCTTTTTTTGACAACTATAGCAGTACCTAGCAGTAGGAATTACAAAGTAGAGGATGCAGTTGTGTTTTCTTTTTTCACCCTCTTTTCCTATTTGGATTGAATAATTTTATGATACGGGGTTCATATATATTTTATGCATGTACATTTATGTTCTGCTTAGTTAGGGATCATCGCTTTATCATCCATGTTTCTCTGAAATGTGTTTCCTAAGAATTGTGAATTCAAGCCTCAAACTGAGGCCTAGTATGGATTAAGCACTACAGGAGAATCCTCTATTTAGAGCCAGGTAGTGGTTTTCTTGTTGAAAGCTAGCAATCAAAGTTGTTATCTCACTAGAAAGCAACCTTCCTTTTTCCTATACTGATCAGAAAACCTTTCATTTTAGCTGTGCCTTCTTCACTGATTTTTCTCTTATTTTTTGTTGTTCCTTTTCAGCCTCAAATGGGCACCGCTGTACCTCTCACTGAGGCTCATGCCTTGATTAATTTTAAGTACCTTCACCTTGCACAGAGGGCAGTGCTTACAGTCTATTTCAGCTTCAGTTGCTAATTTGGCAATAATGGTAGTCTCCACAATGGCAATTAATGAACAAAGGAAGCTTGCACTTTGTGACCTAGCAACCAGGTTCCCTTTAAACTGGTTTCTCTCATTTTCTCTCTTTTTTTGTCTGTGTGTACAAGCCCTCAAAGTGCCAGAGGACAGCAGAGTTAAATTTCTTTGTGTCAGTGATCTTTATTATGGATGGCAATACTTGCTCTCCTTTTCCTTTCTTTTCCTTTCTCTCTTTTGGTTTCATTAATTACTTGGCATCACCAGATTTAGTATTATATTTAAATAGTTATCATTTTCTCAAGGATCCAAAGCTCTTTATTAAGCAGCGGCCACCATGCTATTTTGCCTGTTTAATTTTTTTTTACAGCAACTGGATTAATCCAAATATCTTATTGATTTTTCTCCATCAAAAATCATAATGTACCATTTAGATTCTTGCTTTACTTACCATCTATCACTTACTGAGCTCTTTATTTTCTTACATGCCTTGTACTTTTGAAAAGTCTTAATAAATTTCCATTTAGAAACATCATTATATACCAATTTATTTGAATGAGTTCTTTTTCTAGGTTTGCTTGGGTTATGTAGTTCATGCAGTAAAAGAAAATAGTAGACTGAGAAGAAAGAGGAACCATTTTCTGTGGGTTTTTTTTTTTAATGTTTTGCCATAATGTTCAGAGAAAAGCATAGTAATCTGTAAGATCTGCATTAAAAGAAAAATGCTACTCTGGAAAAATGTTCAGCATTACCACCATTCTTCCACTTCACAGCTAGTGCATATGAAAACAAAACTGAAAACACTTCCCAGCACACCTTTTATCTCCCTATGCATGCTCTTTTTTCCTTGCACACATTTCTCACTATATCCCACCATGATCCTTCTCTTTATTTTGCATCACTAAAATCTTTGAAACTTCAAGTGTGCTAATTATGATTCGCTAGTTCTGCACCCTGCAACCTTCCCTATTGTGTTGCTCTGAGTCTCTTTGCACACCATCCTGCCTCCTTTCTTTCCACATCTTAATGTTATTTTTCTGTTTCTGGACTGTGACATCTTTTTTCAGCACATTTATTGATCCATTGTTCACTGCACTTATAGGCAAAAAGTAGCTTTAGGAGAAAAGCTATATTCCTCTGTACTTGAGTTGTGATGTGATGCCTCACGTAGTCATGAACTTTACATTGTAATATTATGACCCAAGTTTTATCACTTGACCCCCTCCCCCAATCCATGGATATTTATGAACCCAGTTCTAAGTCTTCACTTCTTTTTTTCCTTTAGTCTCTTTCATAATGTTATTAGTTTATTTGTGGGTTGTATTTAAAGAATTAAAATAGACACAATAAATTGTATGGAAAAAAACAAAAAATCCTGGGAGAATTTTAGATCCTGTTGTTTTGATTCCTCCAAGTTTTAAAATAGTAGTACTATTTTTGAGTTAAATATGCTTCCAGCTTTCATAGTTTATGTGTTCTCTGCCTAGGAGATTAACATCTAATTTACTAGTCTTCATAGTTCTGCATAATTATTAACAAAAGGTGACTTCCAGTTATGTAAGCTCAAGATATAGTATTACTATATAATGCTGTACTAATTGCAGTTCTGCTTTAAAACTTGGACAAGTAAGTAGCTTTGTTACAGCTTTAGGTAGTTTGAATATTTTTCTATTATTTTCTTTCTTTAGAATCTCCTAGTAAGGATATTGGCCCCACCCTGGGATTAAAAAAGTCAAGTTCCCTAGAAAGTCTCCAGACAGCTGTTGCTGAAGTAAAAAAGAATGAGCTTCCATTCTACAGGCCTAGGCCTCACATGGTCCGTGGTAGGGGATGTAACGAGAGTTTCAGGGCTGCCATTGATAAATCCTACGATGGACCCGAAGACGTGGCAGGAGGTAGGTGCCACAGAACCTTTCTTCTTTTAGTAAAGAAAACATCTTTTTCAATAAATGTATGTTGTCCTATGAAAATTCATCAGTAAAAATCTGACTTCAAAGAAGAGTTGAATCCAGTTTTGCATATATAACCATAGTTTTGTATGGAACCATGCAAACTATACTGCAGTCTATGTAGGGAACTATATTGGGATTCTGGTATTGACCCTTAACCTGACATCTCTGAAAACATGGCTGGAGATCATATATTGATCTGATCAATTAGCAGATACTAGTTTTCCATCTTGATATATGTGTACATACATGCATGTATCTGTGTCCAAGTCTTTGGACAGCTCTCTCATATTCCAGTATAATGACCAAAGACGAGTCTTCCTCCCATGTTGATGCATTTATCTAATCTTGCATGTTTTTTTGTGTGTGAGAACTTACTAAGTACTATTTGAATCTAAGTTTGAATAATGTGTGTATATTTGTAATGCAAAGATAGACTTGGTATCAAGCAGGGTGTATATGACCAAATATAATAAGGGGTGAATAATATGAACAACAGTATCCAGTTAGATTTAGCTATATGTATTTTATGGTCTCTTTAATACAATTAGATGAACATCTATTGTAATGCTATCTCAGTAATGCAGTTATAACAGGATAATTGGAAATGTTTTTTGTTTGCAGTTTATAAAAAGTTGTTTTGCTTATATACATTAATCAGAAAATATTTACAGGTAGTCCTCAATTTACGATAATTGAGCCCAAAATTTCTGTTGCTAAATGAGACAGTTATAAAGTAAATTTTATAACCTTTCCTGCCACAATTGTTAAATGAATCACTGCTGTTGTTAAGTTAGTAACATAGTTGTTAAATGAGTCTGGCTTCCCCATTTACTTTGCTTGTTAGAAGGTCGTAGAAGTTGACACAAGACCATCATAAATAAGAGTCAGTTGCCAAACACCTCAAATTTTGATCATATGACCATAGGATGATGCAATGATGCCAGGTGTGAAAAACAATAATAAGGCATTTTTCAGTGCTGTTGTAACATTGAACGGTCACTAAATGAACTGTTGTAAGTCAAGGACTACCTGTATGTAGTTTATAAGATTATGGTCTGTACTTGCTGATTATTTTTCCTCCTCTGCAGACGGTCTGTCAGATAAGAGTTCCCTTTCTGGTCCAGAAGGTCAAAACTTTGCAAAAGCCTTTCACATGAATTCTGAATTAGAAGATATGGAAGGAAAGTCAAAAAAACACAAAAAGACCAAAGAAAAATTGAAAGCAAAAGAAAAAAATAAAAAGCTTAATCTCAAAAACAAATCAAAAATCAGTGAAAAGGACAAAAAAGAGGAGAATGACAATCCTGAAAGAAAAACAAAAAAGAAAACTTTGGGCGCTATGTTAAGGTAAAAAGACTTTTTTGTATTGCTTCCTGATCTTATATTAATTTGAACTTGATTTATTTGGCCTGAGGCCCTTCAGTGAGGTTGAATAGAAGTCAAGCTCTATATCCATTGAACTACATTTACTATAAATGAACACTATATATGCTAATTTTGCTAATACATCAGTTAAACTGCATATTGGAAAGGAGAATATACTTTTCAACATGTACTTGTTAATTATTTTGTTGGCACTTATGACCTACTTTTCCTCAAAACAAACAAACAAACCCTAAAGAGATATTATAACAAATAAACTATTGATTTAGACCAAGCTCAGTGAAAGCAGTGAGACTTGATTGAGTCAAGTCTGAATTAATTCTTGCTGATTTTGGTTGGTTTGCTTTTAGGATGACCAGTTCTAATTCAGACTTGTTATCTTTAAAGTGCTTAAGTAGCATAGCATTATAAACCACATGTACTAAATATTGTTGACTGAAAAGTAGAGATGTCCTTGTGTAGAGCTCTGCATTTATTGACTGCATCCATGTAGCTTTCTTGTGAGTATTATGGAAATGATTTGTCATTGCTGTCTTGTGGCACAGTTTTTTTATTACTTCCTTATCTGAGAAATGGTAGGAAAGAAGATCCTTCCAAACTCATCCACTTCATAAATAGAACAGAGAAGTGACTCAGAAGTGACTGTAGATTATATGACAGAAAATATTTGCCTATGTTAGTGCTGGCATCTTCTGCTTTCGGTAATGCATGTTTTGGAAGTCACCTCTCAGCGTTCTATAGAGGATAGGAAATATCTGCTTTCCCAGAATATGGATTTGCTGAATGCTTTTAGTTGTTTCATTTGACACCATTTTTAAGTTGATTGATTTTTTTTTTATTTAGTACCTGCCTTAAATGTTAGCCATTCAGCACCACTTCATGAATTCTTGAACTTTATTTCTAAACGGCCAGTACTGTCATGGGTAGAGGTAAACGTGCCTTTGAAAACAGGAGAAATGTTCTCTGCCTCTGAAAGAACCCCTCAAAGGTGCAGTGATGTCGGTTCTGTTCTCCAGATGAATATACAAAAACATTAGTTGTATTATTACTGGTTTTCTTTTAGATTTTAAAGATACCATTTTGTGTTCATGTACTTCTTAATTTCATTTCATTCTTCAAATTAAAGAGAACAAATTACTGAACAAATTTGTCTTCCATATCTTGCAAGAACAACAGCCTCCTTCATCAGACTCTCATGCAATTAGATTTGAGTTCATGTAAGAAGGCACTTTACTGTTAATAAAGTTTCATGCCATTTGCCACAGTAGGTTATTCAGAATGCTAAAAGATAACTATTTAGCTGATAAATACTTAGAGTTACCAAGCTGTAATAAATGCTTCAGATTAAAGCAGTGGTGATTATGTACTTGCAGGCTTCAGATGTTACACTGGAGATTGTCTCTTCTATCACAGTTATATCTTCAGGAAAAATATATGCATATTATGCTAAGAGAATTGTGGGAATTGCATGTTTATGCACATACTTAATCTTTCAGGGCTTTTGATATCACCTACCAATGAACTTTTTTCTTTATGCTTGCTATGAATAGCACACATTTACTCGTTCATAAAAATGACAGATTCTTGAGTTGACTGGATTGGATAATGGGCATTAATGTCTTCATCACAAAGTTAGTTAATTTTGTTGTGTGACAAGAAACTTTGCTATATCACAGTGATGGCGAACCTTTTAGAGACTGAGTGCCCAAACTGCAACCCAAAACCCACTTATGCATCATCGGGTGCTGGGTGGGTGTGGCCCATTGGGTGGGCGTGGCTGCAGTGGTAATGGCAGACTGGGTGGGACTAAAAAGTTCAATCAATCAATTCCAACTTTGCAAGATCTTTTTTTTCCCATGAGAAGTTGAAATTGACTGATTGATTGAACTTTTTTTTTTTTTTGTACACGGCAACGGAGGCCTAAAGCGAAAAGGTTTTATAAAACCCAGCTGAAGGCCTAGGACTGGGGCAACGGCGCGCGTGCCCACAGAGAGGGTTCTGAGTGCCGCCTCTGGCACCTGTGCCATAGGTTTGCCACCACTGCTGTATCATGTCTTTCTTTGCCAAAAAGCCAAAACTTTAACATCATTTTCTTTACTTAAAAGGTTAGTTAAATGAAAGCTGGACTTTTTAAGTCACCAAGGGTATATGACATCTATCATAGTACAATGTTTCTCTATGGCTTGATCCCAGAGCAGTTGTTAAAGGTACAATGTATAATAAATGCTATTTGACTGTGACTCAGTTATTACCTTTTTCAGATAGTGGTTGTAAAATTTCTGGGTTTACCCTTCACTTTTTATGGGTATAAAGGTACGTTAACTAATGGACTGTAGCCATACCTATGAAATTTTAATAGCTAGCTCCCTATAGGCAACCAATAGACAAAGGTTGTGACGTTCAGCTTTATAAAGTATAGACCAACTGTGTACCAGACATTTTTCATTGAAGGAAAAAACCCTCATAATTGTGCATGTGAAATATAAAATCCTTTACTCTATTTTTAGTCAGGATATGAACATTTTAAAACTGTTAGTGTTGAAGCAAATCCATATTTTATCCACTAGTCGGATGAGCTTGATTATGTTGGTAGAACTTGTAATGACTACACTGATTGTCAAACATTACTAATATATAGTACCAGAATAGTATTTCAATAAAAAGTTGTTTTATATCAGCAACACAGGAAAATTAATAAAGTACCTGAGTGCTAACCATTATTTTCTTCCTGTAGAAATATTATATTTTCTTAGTAATAATTAATCTTAGACTATTTACTCTCATTTTCACAGTATGAACCATTTTGTCTCCTAATTTGCTTATATTGCTTTGAGCTAAGCATCTCAGCTACTTTAATTTTTCATTTTAGCTCCAGTCAAGAAATATTTTCATTACTTAATGAAGACATTCTTTGCAACTGTACTTTTTTTTTGACCAGCTACATTGACTGCATAATCATCCTGCTGAAAAGCATTACTACTCTGCCTAGTTTCTACAGCCCTACATCAAGAGAAGCAGGCTAGTAATAAGCCACTCACCCTCTAAGTCAGGGGTGTCAAATTTGCAAAGTCATGTGAAGTATTGCGACATATCGCAACTTTTTTTCCATTGCCAGCAATGGGGTGGGTGCGGTTTTGGCATGACATATCCGGCCCATGGGCCGGCAGTTTGACACCCCTGCTCTAAGTGTAACCAGGTATGCCTAACCAGGCTGCTACAAGTGATATCAAGTTTAAAAGTGCAAATCATCTCTTCCAAAAATATTTGCAGACCCTCTTATTTTTCCTCTGCACACAAGATTCAGAATCTCATCTATTTCATAGATCATACATCCTATGAAATTAGTATTGGGTACTATACCCACAGCAATCCACCACCAACCGCGGTTTAGAAAAGGTCCCCAGGGCCTGGTAATGTGAGTATATACATAGCAATAGCACTTAGATTTATATGGTGCTTTACAGACCTCTCTAAGTGGTTTACAGAGTCAGCATCTTGCCCAAACAATCTAGGTCAGGGGTAGGCAACCCAAAATACTCAAAGAGCCACTTGGACCCGTTTCCCACCGAAAACAAAACACTGGGATATATCTCTCTGCCCTTGGTCTGCCAGTCTTCTTCCCCCACTCAGTGTGTGTGTGTTTGTGTGTGTGTGTGTGTGTGAGAGAGAGAGAGAGAGAGAGAGAGAGAAAGAGAGAGAGAGAGAGGCACTTGCGCTTCCCCCCTTTCTCTCTTTCCTCTCCCTTTCTTCTCTCCCTTTCTTTCCACTCCCTCCCTTTCTCTTTCCTCTCTTTCTCCCTCTTTCCTCTCTTTTTCTTTACTCTCTCCCCTTTCTTCTCCCTCTCTCTTTCTTTCCTCTTTCCTTCCTCTCTTTCTCCCTTTCTTTCCTTTCTCCCTTTCTCCTCTTTCCTCTTTCTCCCTTTCTCTTTCTTTCCTCTTTCCTTTTTTTCCTCTCTCCCCCTCTCCCTTTCTCTTTCTTTCCTCTTTCTCCCTCTTTCCTCTCTTTCTCCCTCTTTCTATTTCTTTCCTCTCTCCCCTCTCCCTCCCCTTCTTTCATCTCCCTTTCTCTTTTCTTTCCTCTCCCTCTTTCTCTTTCCTCTCCCTTTCTCTTTTCTTCTTCTTTCCTCTCTTTTTCCCTTTCTATTTCTTTCCTCTCTCTTCCCCTTTCCCTTTCTTTCATCTCTCTTTCTCTTTTCTCTTTCTCCCTCTCTTTCCTCTTTCCTTTCTTTCCTCTTTCTCCCTCTTTCCCTTCTTTCCTTTCTCTTTCCTCTCTCTCCCACTCTCCCTTTCTCTTTCATCTCCCTTTCTCTTTCTAACTTTCCTCTTTCTCCCTTTCTTTCCTGTCTCCCTCTTTCTATTTCTTTCCTCTCTCCCCCTCTCCCTCCCCTTCTTTCATCTCCCTTTCTCTTTTCTCTTTCTCCCTCTTTCTTTCCTTTTCTTTCTTTCCTCTTCCATCTCTCTCCCCCTCTCCCTCTTTCTCTTTCCTCTCTTTCTCTTTTCTTCCTCTTTCCTCTCTTTCTCCCTCTTTCTATTTCTTTCTTCTCTCCCTCTCCCTTTCTTTCATCTCCCTTTCTCTTTTTTTCTCCCTTTGTTTCCTCTTTCTCCCTTTCCTCTTTCCTTTCTTTCCTCTTTCTCCCCCTCTCCCTCTCCCTCTTTCTCTTTTCTCTCCCTTTCTTTCCTCTACCTCCCTTTCTCTTTCCTCTTTCTTCTCCCTTTTTCTTTCCTCTTTCTCCCTTTCCTCTCTTTCTCCCTCTTTCTATTTCTTTCCTCTCTCTCCCCCTCTCCCTCTCTTTCCTCTCTCTTTCTCTGTTCTCTTTCTTCCTCTTTCCTCTCTTTCTCTTTCCTCTCTCTCTCCCTCTCTTTTTCTCTTCACCTCCCCCCCCTTTACTAACAGAACCAGTTCACCTACCAAATCATTTAACTTCCTCCCTTAGAGATGGGGAATGTGGATTCACCACATTCTGA